CTCTCTCTCTCTCTCTCTCTCTCTCTCTCTCTCTCTCTAGCGAGGAGGCTTGAGGTGGGTTGCCACCAGCTCTCTCTCTCTCTCTCTCTCTTCGCTCTTTCCTTCTCCTCCTGTCTCTGTCCTTCGAACACTTCACCATCCAATAACCTTTTTTCTGTTTTTTACCCTTGTTACGTTAGCGACAGGGCCTTTCACTATGTGCGGCACCTACCCCTCCCATCCTCCATGTGTCGACTGACTCGACTCGCTGCCCCCTCTTTCCTCCTTCCTTTCTCCCTCCTCTTTCCTCCCTTTCTCCCTCCTCCTTCCTCCCTTTCTCCCTCCTCTCTCCCTTCTTCCTCGTCCATCTATCCCTCCTCCTCCCTCCCTCCTCCTCTCCCCTCTTTCGTCGTCTATTTGTACCTCTCTCCTTCCTCACTTTCTCCCTCCTCCACGCAGCACCTCACTTCTCCCTCCTATTTCCTCCTCCCTTTCTCCCTCCTCCTTCCTCCCTTCTTCTTCGTCCATCTCCTCCCTTTCTCCATCCTCCTTTCTCTCTTCTTCTTCATCCATCTGTCCCTCCTCCTCTCTCTCCATCCATCTGTCCTTCGAACACTTCACCATCCAATCACCTTTTTTTTTTTTTTTTGCCCTTGTTACGTTAGCAACAGGGCCTTTCACTTCTGTGTGACACCTCCACCCCTCCCATCATGCACACGTCGACTGACTCGACTCGCTGCCCCCTCTTTCCTCCTTTTCTCCCTCCCGCTTCCTCCCTTTCTCCCTCCTCCACTCAGCACCTCAGTTCTCCCGCCTCTTTCATCCTCTCTTTCTCCCTCCACATGTCGACTCACTATCCCTCTTTACTCCTCCCTTTCTTTCTACCTCCTCCTTCCTCCCTTCTTCTTCGGGGTGGCAGGGCGCGGGGGGGAGAGCCAAGCAGCCTCACTGGCCGCTCGTCTCCTTCTCTAAAACAAATCCTCTCGGAAAAAAGCCAAATAGACTTATTCCTATAACACCGGTCTCTATCTATAATCATGCTCCCTCTATAAAGTTATATTCTCCCTACCAGTTTTACTTGTTCTCCCATATTTCTTGATACCATCCTACTCAGATTACCTACTTACATTTCCTTTGCTTATATGCTAAAGAAAAAAGAAGCCAAATGCCAGAACTTCCAGTGACAGTGAAAGCAATTGAAAAATTGCAAAGAGAGTTGAAAAAAGAAAGAGGAAAGATGCAATCTTAAGAGAATGTGTTGTCCTCACCGAAAACTGATCAGCCATAACTGGTTCCTCTTCACATACAGCAGGTAATAACTGAAACCGCCGGAAGTCCCCTCTCCACCCGCGCCCAATGCTACCTCCCCTGCAATGGAAAAAAAAAAAAAACAGGAAAGAAAAAGGGGGTTGCCAATAAAAGGGTCAAAACCAGTAAAAGCCTAAAAGGGTCAAAATTCGGTTAAGTAAACAGGGGCATTGCCAGTACAAGGGTCAGAACCTGGTTAAGTAAACAGGGGCATTGCCAGTACAAGGGTACTACCAGTGCAAGGGTCAACAACCACCAGTACATTTCCCAGCCATTTTTCTTTGACGCGGCACGCATCCGGCCACACGTTTCCTGGTTAGGCCTACTGGAGCAAAATAGCCACCTTGTGTGTTTCAAGGGTCGTCGAAGGAAGGGTCAAAGGTAGTGTTGGTTCAAGTAGAAAACGGGTACTGCCAGTGCCAGGGCTGCAATCAAGAGGCGATTGTATTAGGTCACCGATCTTTTTTCTTCCAACGCCATACTGTACGGATGCATACACCATCCTCCTTTACAGACCTCGTCTTCACACACAAACTCACATCATGTATCAGGGCTTGTTCAACTATGTACTTCCTTGGCGAAGAGTCCAACCACCTGCAAGAGTCCATCGGAAATTGCCTTGCGACTCTCCTCACGCCGAAAATACGGTACGTTCTTTGCGCTACACAGCACCTCATCATTCATGACTTCAGCCAGCCCAAATGAAACATGGCTTTCCTATTTTGGGAGATCAGGCGTATCGAAGGGGCACTGAGAACGATAAGGCATCATGCCGCAGTGATTGGGCAACAGATAACCAGTCGCTCTTGATTGATTTGACAAACATCACCCATGCACACTCATAGCCGGTGCGAGGTGCCAACATTTTTCTGTTTGAAGTTTAAACCGGCAGTACACCCGAGCCTGGCAGACTCAGCGGCGCACTTCTTTTCTTTTTTGGCTGGTGCCGCCAGCCATTGTGGTCCGGTAGCCCCGAGCCTCCTAAATTTTAGAAGTGAGCTGTGAAACTTTTCAAGTTGCCTGGGGCCGTGTACTGGCGGGTTAACAACATTTTGGCTAGGGAAGTGCCCGGATACATGCCCAGGTGCCCGGGCACCCAAGTTGTGCCTGGATACATGCCCAGGTGCCCGGCTGGGCATGACCCCTGGGCAGGGTTCCGGGCAGCCCCAGCACACAAAAAAA